CCTTTGTAGTTTTGATTCTAGTTCCCTACAAACAACAGGTACAGTCTGCTACTAAAACACAGAGTAAAGTAAGTAAAGGGTCAACCCGCGGCTGCTAAAATTAAAATGAATGTAGCGTTGTTTTGCTTCATGTCTGTTGAATGAAACTTGGCAGAGATGCAGCTCAGTATATTCAGAACAGATTCATTATAATCAGAATCGCTGACAGATTTAGTAAATTTTAAAAAGGTCAAAGAAATAAAGTAAAATAAAGTATTTTATCTGAAAAGTCTCCTGAGTTGTTCTAATCCATACAGCCCAAGGATGGTCATTGATCATTTCGTTTTGAAGCTGTTAATGAACTGGGGCATGTTTTTCAAGTAGAAAGGAAACGTAATAGAATATAGTTCAAGTGGGTAAGTGATGACATTGATGCTAGCACTGGCACAAATGTACTGCTTGCACACATAAAACCATGAGAAGCATTTTCTCTTCTCATAAAGAATGTTTTTAACACTTCATTAGATCTATTTAACAGTGGTTTTCACCCTTTTACTTGTGAAGTAAACTTAAAATGGCAAAGTTTCAGTAGATAAAGTATCGTATTATATTTAACGGGTCAGACTGATGCTGTAACTACCTGTGGTTTGTACACCTTAATATATCTTGTACAATTTAAAAAGGTGCAGAATTGATTAATTTAAGTTTTTATCGACTTGATTTTCTACAGCTTACTCAAGGATTTTTATTCTTATCTTATTTTCTCCTCACTGCCATGCCACTGATAAAGAGGCCATGTGCAGAATAATATTTTACTGAATATAATAAATGCTTTTTTATCCCTCAGCAGTAAAAGGTTGATGGGTTATTGTGGTCACCCTGCGGCAGTTTGTGAATGTGATAACTCAAGATTGAAGCAACATAGACGTTTCAAATTTATACCATAGGTGTATCTACTCTCCACCACATGATCACCACGATCATGATCAAGGCTGCAATAGAAAAACATCAGTGTTGCCTGTAAGAAGTAAAAAGAAAACAACTTGTACCTTCTTATCAAACATTTTCTAACTCATTGTCAGATTCTCTTCCCCCCATCATGTGAGCAATATGGGCGTGCCACTCTCTCAGTCTTAAAAAGAAGCTGCAGTGTACATTTACTGAATGACAAAACAATGTCACTTGGATAGTTTACAATATTTCTGCATAAAGCTTCACACAATAGACGTGTTTATTTATTTTTATAATCACTTTGTAAGATTCGGTAGCCAGCTGTCACGTTTGACTCTGTCAGGTGAGTAGAGGGGACGTCGTGTTGGTTGAGTGCATGTCAGTATGTCACTTAGCAAGTCCTGCCGATAGACACAGAATGTGGCCAGACAGGCTGGTGAGCTGTTATGTAAAGGTCTCTGGTTTCATGTATAACATGGTCAGCTGGAGGGGAGCTGAGCACTGTATATTGTAAACACAGTAAATGACTCTGCACCTGCATATCCATCAGTAATGACTAAACTCAGTGTAGTTTCCATGCCCCTTTGCCACCCAGTAACATTTAAACTCACTCAGCAACGTGTTGCATGTTCTCAGTTCCTCTTTTTGCCTGTGATGTTCTGGGTAGTGTGTACATTTTTTACAAAGAAAACTGATATAACACTACACTAAATGAAAGTGAGATTTCTACTAAGACATGTCGACTGTACATAAAAGCTCAAAAAGTCCACTTGATTTAAATGACGTGCAGTATTATTACACTGAGCTTTTATTTAAAAAAACAAACAAACGCTTGGACACGCAGCAAAGGGCTGCGGGGTCGATTCAAACCCAGGACAGCAGCTTTCAGCCGTATAGTATGTGGTTTTCACTCTTTGGCGTGGGGATTTTGTTCCACTGCATTTTACTCATCTGTCAACATAGAACAGGTTTTACTGTATATCTACTGGATATACAGTCTTCTGAAAAAATAGAGTGAGATTATTTTAAAAATGAATGGTTCTTTTTCCCAGATGCGTGTCACGGGTTCCCGGGGCAAGCCGTGTGAATTTAACAAAGGACCCAAGATGCGGATATGCAGTGAAGTGAGAGGGCTTTATTGACACAGAACCCGAGTGACAACAAACAAAAGGAGAGTGTGGCGAAAAACCGAACTTAGACATAAACTACACTGGGAAAACTAAAACCTAAACAACAAACCTGAACACGAGAGAAAGCAACTTGCAGGGAAAATTCACAATAAACAAGAACACAGAATATTATAAAGAAACGCAAAACATTGAGTCGTCAGACTCAGGACCATGACAATGCGCTTGCTCTTAGTTTTTCAAGTTAGTTAGCAGATGGTCTCTGCCCTATACTGTGTTCCTAGACTATTTAAAAGTAGAATGGGAGGTAGAGCTTTCAGCTTTCTGGCCCCTCTTCTGTGGAACCAGCTTCCAGTTTGTATTCAGTACACTGGAACCCTCTCTACTTTTAAGATTTGGCCTAGAACTTTCTTCTTTGATTAAGTATATAGTTACGGTTGGATCAGATGACCCTGAATCCTCCTTTAGTATTTTGGAGAACTTCCTGCGTTAATTAGCCTCTGTCAGATTTTTGATATACAGTAAAACATCTCTGGCTACATGAATGTGTTGAAGCAGTGAGTGTCAAAAATTTGCTGTACTGGCATTACTCCACAATGTCACCTGTGCAAGTTAAAGTAGTTACTAATCTTTGTCATTTTGGAAACTGCTGTCGAGCTTTTATATAGAACTTAAACCCTCTCATACTGGTTTAAGGATTATGGTGCCATCCTGGTGTCATCTTCCTGGCACTGGCACTGATTTTTTAGAAAAAAAGACAGAAGGACAGCCATGCAACAGATATGAAAAAGAAAAAGTACCTAGAAAAAGTAAAATAAGGTTTTTTTTTAGGTGATCTAGCGGTAGCTGTCTATTGATGACTGTCTGCAGCTTTGGTTGGTTGTCGGTGGGTTGGATATGTAGAGGTCTGTGACCTAAATCCTACTGTGGAGGCTTCTCTTTCTGTGTCCTCAACTATTTATCAGTTTTTTATCATTTATTTGCCCTATATGTATTGTCCTCTTCAGTAGTAAAAACTGCTTTTAAAAATATTCTTTCTTAAATATACCTCTAAAAATACCCCTAAAATATATTTTAGGTGTTCCAACCAGCAATGAAGAATTTTTGGTCCTTTGCTAACCTTAACATCTGTAGAACATTAGAAGTGATCAAGAAGCCTGACCACCATTATCAGTCCAGTACCCTTAAACCCCTGTAGAGGAGGAGATCTATTAGAATTAGAAATTTTCATATGCTCAATTTGACTATATATATATATATTTCCAAATCATAATTATTGCACGTGGGTGTATGAATTTTCCAGCTGCGGACATGGCCTCAGATTTGGAGGTACTGATTCTCTTTCATACTCAGCTGCGAACCGCTACAGTGCGAGCTGGAGGCCGTCACCCGATGAAGCCAACAGAACCATATAATTTGCAAAAAGCAGAGATGAGATTCTGAGCCCACCCGAGTGGAAGCCTTTCGCCACTCAGCTACGCCTAGAAATTCTGTCCATAAAAATTACGAACAGAATCGCTGACAAAGGGCAGCCCTGGCAGAGCCCATCTCCCACTGGGAACAAGTCCGACTTGTTGCTGGCTATGCAGACCAAGCTCTTGCAACGGTTGTATAAGGATTGAATGGCCTGTAGCAATGGGCCAAACACCCCACACGCCCAAAGCACTTCCCACAGGACACTTCGAGGGACACAGTTGAATACCTTCTCCAAGTCGAAAACACATGTAGACTGGTTGGGCAAACTCCCAGGTACCCTCGAGAGGATAAAGAGCTGGTCCAGTGTTCCACAACCGTGACGGAAACCGTATTGTTACTCCTGTATCTGAGGGTCTACTAACAGACGGACTCTCCTTTCCAGGACCCTGGCATAGACTTTCCCAGGGAGGCTGAGCCATAAATTAAACTTAAATTATCACACATGTAATTTGTCATTTTGAGAAATTTGAAGCACATGCAATTTTGTAAAATTATGGACTGAATATGGTGAACTGTGGTTTTTGGGTACTATTGATGGAAGAAAAAGAAGACCTGTTCAAGAGACAGCCTTCAGCATGGCACAGAAACATGCAATATTTGAGGCTATGGTGAT